CCGAGAGCCGGGATCATATATATATATATATATGTATATATATATATATATATGAGGGTTTTAAGTGTTAGGGTGACTCGAAGCAAAGATGCGGCGAAGCACCATAAACCGACTTGCTGGGGACACGGAAACCACCCAGAGCCAGCCCTGAGAGGCATACTGTTTAGGGTTCTAGGGTTTAGGGTTAAGGGGTTTAGGGGTTTAGGGGTTTCGGGTTTAGGGTTTAGGGTTGAAGCCTACATGATTGCCAGCATGGGCCAGCATTGCTCGTTAGGGCGCCTTATGATATTTGTGTTTTCCTTTTAACCTTGGGGTTTAGAGCGGGTTTGGGGGTCTGGGGGTTCAACACCGAGGCTCTAGATCCAAGAGCCCTTCAGGAAAAGTAGTGGCAAAATCTGATGTAAAAGCGAGTGGTGATACCGTATGCCAGATCCATCAGCCCCTCGCAGAGGTGTTTCGGAAGCGACAGTGATTGGGATTGGGCTGCTGTGGCGCCCAAAAGCCCTTGCGATCATTTTGGGAATCTGAGGTGTTTGTCCGGAGCAGGGTTTTTGAAGTAAAAAAGGGGCCGAAATTATAGTTATAGTATGATGGGCCCCAAAACCCTATTCTAATGATTGCGGCCCCTATATTAGGGTTCAGGGTCGGAGGTGGGAAGGTTTGAGGTAGGGGGGTAGCCACCGACCCCCCACGGCCGACCCAGGCGGTTCCACGACACCCCTACTGCTTCGCCAGCATACTCTGCGCCAAGCCTGTCCTCAACTCGAAAACCCCCTAAATCCTGAAACGCACAACTAAACCTTGTAAGTTTTAGCTCCGAAGCCGCCTTGGCAGGTTCGGCAAAGCGTAGCACACTGCCGGGCTTCTTGTACGAGAGCCAGCGCTGGGTGTATTCTCATGTTTGTTAAATGGTACTGGTGCTTGAACAGGGCTTAGGATTTGGGTTTGGGTAAGTGCATGTTTCTGCAGCGGTGGTTTAGTTTGAGTCGCTTGAGGCTAGATTCTATATCTCCCTTAGTCGAAGCATACAGAGAGGATCAGCAAATGAACAAACCAAAAAGCGAATACCAGCACAAGGACGAAGCGAACACAGCAACATGTTCCTCGGTTCATGCTTCTGTCTGTATACGATAAGCCAGCACCCAACAGTGACCCTGGAATGCATTCACAACTTTAGCGCTCCGATGGATCTGTATGCTTAAGCATTCTATATCAACAAACCTAGGTTCAGATGCATATAGACAGGTACATAAGGATACAGACACATACATATGGACATGCATGCATGGGTATGCATGCGTATGTCCGCCGGTGTCCGCTGGCAGTTTGAGGTAAGTGTGTATTCAGCGGACATTGTATGGATCTTGTGGGGAGAACCATTCAACTCTTGCAAGCCCTGCATCATATCTGGAAATGTAACCCCGATCAACTTGAACCTCAGCGGCAAGGTATCTGTCGGACAACATTTGATGCATGGTGATCGTGGCAGACGATGATGCTGATTGTAATGGTGCTGTCGCTGATGCTGTCCATGGTTTTGAGGCATCTTGTTTTTGTTCCTGCTCCTGCTCCTGTTGCTGCTCTTGTTGTTGTTGTTGTTGTTGGTGGTGGTGGTGGTGGTGGTGGTGGCGTTGGCGGTACTGGTGGCCGTGGCGGTGGTACATTAGGCGGCGACTGTGGTGGTGTTTGTCGCTGTTGTTTGTTGCATGCGCGGCGCCTGCACACGAGCACGCTTGTATCGTTCGAGATGTCGAGACACCGAACCCAGGCAAGGCATCGCCGGTGTGGGTGAGGCCGCCGAGCCCTGGACGATATGACGGGGTGTTCTTAATTGCACCCTAAATTGATCGGGAGGGTAGACTTTTCCGGCCTGGGCCTCCGGGGTTTCAAGTCTTAGTGCGACGGCCTCGTTGATAATTCCTGGCTGATTAATACACCCTGTTTTTGAAGGCTCCTAACGACCACTTATTGCTATAGTCACTATAGTCCTTCATGCGGGAGGGAATCATGGGATCTGCAGGGATCCCGCGTTCTAAGCTTCTTCGAGATGGAGGCGTGGTCTGCAGTAACCTGTCCGTTCCTGCCGCACCAGGTTCTGCGCATCATGCGGCCACATGTTTATGTACATCTACTTCTAGCTGCACGTTGAGCCTGCTGCTGTGTGTGCGTGTGACTATGATACATGTGCATCATCTTGGTATTATGAAACGGCCAGAACATTGGCACTAACTTCAACACGAATTTAAAGTAGACATCCCAAAGCCTAAACTCCCAAAAGTTGAACTCCTCAACCACGAAAAACTTAACATCGCAAAAGAACGCCTGTAGTATCCCTCATAGCCCGGAAGCCTTACAAAGAGATCATACAACCCTGAACTCGTGAAGCCTAAACCAGTGAGAAAAGCTCAGGAAGCTGCAGCAGCCGAAGAAGGATGACCAAGCACCCTGGTGGGTACATGTAAGGATTCCTTTCAGGGTGTAGGGCTTCTGTTGATTTCCAGTGTGTGCACGGGTAGGAGTTCGCTGGCAGTGCACAAGGAGCCTTTGACGAAGATCATTCGAGATGGAACACATTCAGTTTTCAGGTCGAGGTCAAGCGGAGCTTCAAACCGTAAACCCCTAAACCCTACACTAAACCTTGAACCGTAGACTAAACCCTAAAACCTAAACCCTAAACCCTAAACCTAGACCTCTAAACCCTAAACCTCAACAAGGCATTGAAGCTACACAGGCATGCGTCCCAGGTAGGGCAGCGCCGTGCCATCGCCGACCGCCTGGCCAAGTCTCTTCTTGAGCGCCGGCGGACGACGGATGCCGACGTCCTCAAGGCTCCTGAGAGTGCTCTATATAGTAAGTTATAGTGTTCTATAATCGTATATTCTTGTATACTATAACTACAGGTTTCTCTAGAATGAAATAGTTCTAAAATACTATGGTACTGCGGAAGAAGCGGTGCAGCCCAATTAAGGCCCCAGGTACGGCATGAGGACAGTAGTACTATATAGTAGTTGAGCTCAACGATGGTCTTTGTAACTTCGTGGTAGTCATAGTAGTTGAAGTGCCGGTAAACCCCAAACCCCTAAACCCTAAGCCCTTGCTCAGTGCAGCCCTTAACTTCGACCGTCACTGTCTTCTCGCTATTTCGTGCTGGTGGTGCTATATTCTCGCTTCCAGTGCTATCCTATAGAAGTCGGGTGCGCTTGTGCGCGCCCGCGTGGATGTGTGTGCGTGTGCAGCATTTCATGATCGTTCGTCTTAGAACCGCCGCTGCTCCATGCTGGCTCGCATGTTGGTGGTACAGCACCTGGAGCCATGTAGGACATTAGTTCGCTTTTCAAGGCAAATACACGTATGTGTATATTTCTCACATGACTTAAATGTATGTATGTGTATATGTATATATGACTAATAAGTCTATATCTATACCCAAATCTACACCTACATATCATCTATGTCTACATCTATATCTATATCTCTGCCTATTTCTGTATCTGTATCTATGTGTATATATCTAGCTATCTGATTCTATTTCTATATGTGGTTCGAGGATCTAGATCTGTATCCCTATACATATGTGTACGTGTGTATATATCTATATATACATCGTATATATACATATATATATATATATATAAATATATATATATATATATGTACATGCACATACATGCGTACATGCATGCACACATGCACACATCCATACATACAAAGCTAGAGACATAGGTACATACCAACAGACACACAAACATGCACTCAGAGCTAATATAGGGGCCTAAATAATTACCAATACTATTTTGGGGTTCCTTGTAATAGTTATAGTATAGTATATCCCAAAACCCTATTCTAATTATTAAGGCCCCTATATTACATCAACTCCCCGAAACCTTAAACCCTAAATCTTAGGGCTGTCAAGGCCTTACAGGCCTGGGCTTTCCACGACAACCACGCCCGACAGAACGTGCGACGCAGAGGCCGAAGCCAGATAGCTGTTAATCCGTTTAGGGTTACAGGGTTTTGTAATGGGTTTAGGGTTTAGGGTTTAGAGTGGGGCGTTTGTTTAGGGTTGAGGATTTGAGGTTTAGAGGTTGGACTCTTGTATGAGAGTCGCTGTCTGGCTACTAAAAACACTGTACCAGAACCGTTTTGGAATACTCAAGGCCCTATCTATCTATGCACATGCATATATGTACGTGTGGATATGTATATGTGTATATATATATACACACACCCAGACAGAACAGATCGGGCTTAGGGTTTCGGTTCAGCATTTGGGGCCTAGGCGTTTGGGTTTAGGGACCCTAAACCCTAAACCCAAACAGCCATGCAGGACCCTCAACAACCCTAAGACCCTGAGCCCCTAGGACCGTAATCCCGAAAAAACCCTTAAACCCTGATGCCCCAAACCGTGCTCCCAACGCTTCACAGGCAGCGCCCAGCCAGTCTTTAGTGACTCTTTGGGGCTCTCTCTCCGCCGGGATGGCCGACGCTGTCCTCCATTAGTTTGGGGTTTAGTCTTTGGAGTTTTTGGGTTTAGGGGTTTCGGGTTTGAGGGTATAGGGGCTTAGGGTTCGGGGATCAGGGCGTTAGGGTTTATGGGGGTTTATGGTTTCGGGTTTGGGGTTCAGGGTTTAGTGTTTGGGGGTGGGTTACTGTAAATATTGTAATTAATGGACACCTCTAAGGGATGTTATAAAGAGACACGGTATAGGATACTATAAGGATACTGAAAGGGATACTTTCAGGGATATTAAGAGGGATATCATAAGAGATACGATACGGGTTATTGTAGAGATTTTTGTACACAGGCTTAAGAGGTTTCGTGATCGGTCGAGGATGTTTCGGGGCTCAAGCTACAGGTTTGAGGTTTGGGGTTTTAGGGTTTCGATACTACGATATACCCAACCCTGACCCTCCCAGGGGCTTCACG